AGGCTGGAAGTGACTGAAGATACCAAAAGCACCCTGGCAGCAATGGATGACTCTTGTCTCAGCTATGGCCTGAGGGAAAGTATCGCTTCCTACCTCTCCCTAACAGAGGATGACAACGCTTCTTTTGCAAGTGCCAGAAAGAAGAAAGCCCAATCTCTTATATACACAGGGAGCAAACGTAAAAGTGCCCTTCACTTGCCACCTACATACTATGAAGACTAAATATAAGACAATCAGGGGGAAAAAACCCAACAACTGAGGTGTTAGAAGAGAAACCCAGAGCACCCCGTGGTCCTGCAGTCCTTCAACAGCTGAGAAATACAGACACCCCAGCTGGTGACCCAACTCTAGAACTTCTGCATTTAATCTTCTGAATGTTACCCAGAGACCTTCTCAAGGGTGCTATCTCAGCCACGGAATATGCTGGGAGTGTCCCCGGTGTACCTGAAATTAAAACTGGCTCACAAACAGCAAAAATGGAGATAGACTCTAAATCAGAAGCCAAGTGAGGCAAGTGACTCTTCAGCAAGGGTGATGCCCAGCACTGTACAAAGGTGACTGCATAGGCAAGGACTAACTGCAGCTCAAGAACTTAATTTAAGTCTTGCTCTGATATTCTCCACAAGGCTGAAAACCACCTTTACAGAACCCATCTACATTGGAAAAAGGAGCCTTTTTCATCTCAATGTAGAATTATCCATTGTCATTGACAATGGGTCAGAAAGTTGTCAATAACTTTGAGAAAGCATTTAACATCCAGCATCCAAGAAACACCTGATTATATTGACTCTGTACTTACTTTTTAGGAGAAAAAAATTAAAATCACTGACTTTGCAAGTAGCATTTAATTAATCTGCTCACAGTGGCCTGCAGCATCATAAAGTAGCCACAAAATTAAGAACAGGCCTAATTCACAGAGAAAAGCAGGTCCTGCTTATCCCTGAGATGGGAGTACAGACATATCCAAACACATAACTCAGCTGCTCATAGTGTAGCAGATATAAAATGAAGAACAAAGGGGGGGGTTAAACAAAATGTAAAATGTGATAATATTGTGCCTAACTGCAAAGTTTGGCTTGCAAAGGTGTGACCTTTTATGTGTAGAGGAATATATTTTAACTTCATCTTCTGGAGTAAGCCTCATATTTATGTATAATATTTATATTATTAGAGCTTTTAAAATAATTAAACTAAGAGAACAAATCAGTAACAGTGGATGTTAAAGATTTTTCCTAATTTCTTGTCTGAAGAGAGTTATGTCAAATAGTAATGACACTTTTCATCAAACCACTTAAAAATTAAAGGGTTTTCTGAAATTTCATTAATTTTTCTACATGTATTTACCCTTTGCTAAGGGCATAAAAAGCAGGTAGCATGTTCCTTTGAACTTGCCTTGTGATTGCTTTTGAAATCAAGCAATAACTCACATCTGAGGGTGTAAAATGCTGCAACCTATGTTCTCAAGCTGAAATATTTTCAGTACAATATTCTGTTGAACCTTTTTGCAGAGATTTGAATAATGAAGATTTGGAGAAATAGAGAACTGGGTTTGTTTGTGTATATATATATATATCACCTGTAGAAACATCTGTATGCTCTTTAGATCTTGTATCAGGTCATTTGCACTATCAAGAGAGGTTCAGAGATTAATATATTTCACAGCCTATTTAAACACATCTCAGAACTTACAGGATGAATGTAATTGGCTGGTAAACATTGAACTCCAAAAAGCAAAAGAAACTCAGGAACTCTGGGCGTTTGCATAATCTCACTACTGTTACTGCTCATTAATATGCTACAGTGACTGCATTTTATCCACGAAATACGTATGGGGAGCATTACAGATTTCTAAGTCATGGCTTGTATGTATTTATTAATTAAAATTATATCCAGTAGTTACTTTGTATTGCTTTTAGAAAAAGGAAGACCTACTGTGCAACTAGTTCAAGCACTCAGTCTTGCAATGCCACTGCCAGAAGGTATCTTTGACAGAACACAACAAAAGAATCCAAGAGCTCATACAATTGGCAGCACTTGGAATATGCCCTGTAAGAAGTGTTGGAAGGGACCTCCAGACATCACCTGGTCCAACTCCCGTGTCCCAGGAGGGCCACGTTTGGCCAGTTGCCCCATGTCCAGATGGCTTTGGAATATCTCCAGGATGGAGACTCCACAACTTCCATGGGCAACCTGGGCAGGCACTTGGTCACTTCCCTGGGCAACCTGTGCAGACGCTCAGTCCTCCTCACAGTAATGACATGAGAAGGTGACAAATCCTAACTACACGTGCCTTAGGGATGGCTGAATTTTATAGATGGTTATGGGGAAATTCTATGAGGCCTGGTCATTTCTCACAAATAACTGAAAGACTGTATCAGGGACCTTTAGGGAAACACAACCTTGCAAGGGCCGACAATACCGAGGCGATTCCGTACAAATCTGAGACTACCTAAGGCACGACATCAGAAATACCAAACTGGGGTAGGGGTGTAACAAAACTGGGATCAATGGAAAAAAAGTAATCAGAGCTGGTTGGTTTGTTTGAGAGGGAATGAGCCTGGTAAAGGAGAAGAAAAGGAGATGGGAAAAGAGGGAAGAAAGGGGATCTAAAGTGTAGCTCATCAGCAGGATCAGGGAATTTTATGGTCCATGTCAGACAGCCCTGCACCTGTCTGCAGTAGTTCCAGAGGGACAATAAACCCTCTCTTTCCAATATTGGCTGATCTGCTTCCATGGTCAGGAGGTGCCTTCCCTTAGGCTGGGAGCTCACCTCCTGACACCTGGCAGGAATGCCTGAAGAGGACATCTAACATAGCTGCCCCTCCACAGCTTCCTGAAATTCATACCATTGATCCACTCTTCTACATCAAAATTGCACTGTCAAATAAATCAATTAACCAGAAGGTGAAGGCAGATGACAGGTCAATGCTCTTAAACCATTTAAAATAAGACCATAATTACTGATACCACTTTTTTATAATCACACTACTGAAAGGTGAAATAAATTATAAAGGTCCTCGTGAAGGGTTTTTATTGATTTTGTGCAAACTGTTTACAGATCTGTTCCAAAAAAACACCTATTATGGGGCAGACATAGGAGACTCAAAAGCATTTTGCTATTTCAGGTGTTTGTCTTCTTGTAAAGAAATTTTCATACATCACACCTTTCTGCATGCTCAGAAACAATCTGGTTTTATCATGCATGGCAAAGACCAAAACAAAGAGCACAAAGCTGACTTTTGCAGAAGAGCTGTATTGCTTCATGGGATTTTCCCTCAGGAAAGCTATATCTGGTAGATATTTTCAGTTTTATGATTCTTAGTCTGTGTGCACCTCCTTTTTTACAATAAAATTAAAAGTAATGATTTTGGTGTCTGGGAACAAAAGCAAGACACATCCCTTTACAGGAGGTGTAAGTGAGAAATCTGAGTAAACCAACAGTTGCATCTGGCATCACTTTAATAAAAAAAAAACTTTTTAAAAAAGAAACAATCAAGTATATTTTAAAGCTACAAGCTTCTGCTACTGTTGGTTGCTTTTTATTTTGTCAGTGTGCTTCACAAGAAAACTACACCCACTGTGATGCTGTCAGGATAAATAATTAACACTTCTCTTAAATCAGTGGAGATCCTGGTTTTGCCAAGACAGTGCTCTGCACAGTCCCAGGAAGAAAACTGTTGTTACAAACACCAGGTAAGTGGAAAGAACTGATGCACCTGCCTGCTCATTGAATAATGGAAAACAGCGGCAAGTGCAATGTTCTGCTGTAGGAGAAAGAATGAGTTTAGACTTTTTTGTATAAAAGAGAAGATGTAATGAGGAACTACACTCCAGAAGTAATAATAAGCAAAGAGGTTCTTGCATTTCCCTTTCCCAAGTTGCTCAACTGGTAAATTGCACTGTATCATGTCAGTAAAGGGTTTGTGACTTCAGAGTAAAAGTGGGATGAAACTGAGAGGACAGGACTCTGAATCTCCTAGTAAATTACCTGCTATGGCAAAAGCCGAGTCAAAATCTTAGAACTGTGTGAGGAATTGTCTGACAATGACACAAAAAAAAAACCCCAGCTACTGACCAGCAATTTTCAACAACTTACCTTGTCTTCCCCACCAGATTGATGCAATTAAGATAAACTTATTGAGCCACAGGGATGCAAAAGGCAAGTTATGTTTTCTGAAGCAAGGGCACACTGAAGAAAAATTAAGATGTCATTATTTCCAAGACAAGATTTTATTTAACTGGGCTCTAAGTTTTCTGAACCAAGAATTCTGTCCCACTGCTCACTGTTCAAAGTCAACCCTGCTGGCAGAGAGGTCATTTTGTCCAAGTACCATTTCTGCTGGATATATAAACCTCCTCTGATGATCAAGCCTTATTTCAGAGCACACCACTCTTATGTAAAGATAAATGGCAGTACTGACGCTGATAAAACTGATCTCAAAGTCCTGATTCAACACAGTAAAGGCTGTAAAAACATGGATCATTTGGAGTGACTAAGAAAATGGTGCAAGCTGACAGCAAATAAGCCCATCAGTAAATGCAGTTTTACTCTCTGAAACGTCCTTTTCTTTTAAACGAAATCTGCCATAAGATCAGATAAGAAGATTGGATATTCTAACATACAGAAGTTTGGCTCACCAGTTTTAGAGTCTAAAAACTGCTGACCAACAAACGTATTTATGGAATGGAAACTAAGCTGTTGTACCTGTAAGTTATGAAACAAGGTTATTTATATAATGCACAAAAAACCACAGTGACGAAAACTAGACTCTTACTATGAGTAAATCAAACACCAAAGTGCATCTCTTGTACATCCTGGTGAAGCACTCGGCTCCTGGAGATAACAGTCACAGGTGAGATGAAAAATAGCTATAGCAATAACAGCCCTATTAGCGCTGCCAAGGTATGGATGAAATAAAACCAGCACCCACACACTGCAACATCCTCGTCTCTGCAACAACATCCTTTCACAATGAAGTTAAAGCAGGAATGGAACTTACCATCAACAACACCCTCCTGAAAAGGTCAGTATCTGCTGTCTGTGTGAGCAGGTGAATGCTGGTGATGTCTGCCCCACCACGGTCAGCTCCCAAAGAAACCCTGCTGGGGTCTCCTCCAAAGCCAGCAATGTTCTGCTGCACCCACTTCAAAGCTGCCAGCTGATCCAAAAGGCCAGCATTCCCACTCGCCTCAGCAGAACCTGTTGTAGAAAATAAAACAGGGCTGAAAAGAAATAAAACTATAAACATATGAAGTTTTGACTAAATGTCACGTTTTTAGCAGCTCCTGAAACTGAACTTGGACAAAACTGCTACCATAAAAGTGGTCTCTTCCAAGGATATCACTTTACAGACTGACTCCATTTCATTTTTTACCACCCCACCAGGCAGCTCTGGAGGTGCCTCTTTGTCTGTCCTGATGATAGACAGATAGAAAAATAACACTCCAACTTCTAAGCTTCATCAGGACACATCATGGCAGGAGACTCTAATACAGGCTCAAGTATCCACAAATTTAGCCATAAGATTCTTTTTCTACATAAGTAGCTCGATCTTGAATTAAAAGCACACACCAAAAAAAATCTGTGAGTTTCCCCGATTCTTGAGTTGGAAGGGACCCATAAGGATCATTGACTGTTTCCCTGGAGTGCACCTAATTGCAGGTTTCCTTCCTACATCCCTTTTACACTTACCTTGTCTGACCAATCATTAAAAGTCATAACTTGCATTTCTTTATTATTTTAAAATTATTTTTAAAATGTGTCATATCTCCATCTCTATCCTTCTTTGAGATCATCCATTGATAGAGATCTGATATATATATTCATATTTTTGTTAACATGAAAACAAATAATTAATCATGTATTTCCCATGCCTAAGTATCAACACTTTCTTTTCAACCCCAACAAGTGGTAACCTGATACTCTCATTAATAGGAAACTTATGTTGAAAATGTCTAATGATGCAACCCCTTAGGTAAGGTTAATTTTATATCAACAAAAGCAGAAATAAATAATCACTCCACAGTCTCTAAGAAAGGAATAGAAAATGATTATTCACTGTCTACTTCTTTATAATCCCCTATGAGCCATTTATTTTTAAGTTTTAAAACGTTTAAAACTTGTGGAGAAAAAGCCCCACAGGGCAAGACAAAAAAAGCCATGAATAGAAAAACAGCTGAAACTATTTGTTTCTTCCATTGCCAAGACCAAATAGCACAATTTTAAAGTAAGGGTAGGTTCAGAAACTAGTGAATCAAAATCAACAGTGAGTGGAATAAAAAGTTGCCACTTTGTGGAGATGTAGTCCTGTCTTGGGAAAAGAGTAATTGAAAGTTTACATCCTGTGGTAGATATCAATATGCCTAATGTAATGAATTACTGGAGTATCAAACATACCAGTTTAAGCAGCAGAATAAATACAAAGGAGAACAGATAACTGGTTACCTTGCAGGGCTTAGAGATACCCACATCAAAAATAGGCATTGCTGTAAACACCCTTCCAGTAGGGCAGCCAAAAGCTAAGTGGTCCAAAACCCAAAAAACTACAATCTTCCACCTATAGCCATAGTTTCAGATGAACAGTCCAAGTCATACCAGTGAAGCAACGGAGGAAAAACTTTCCCTGGTTAGTTTTTGGGGATTGGTTTGGTTTTAGGTTTTTTTTTTGCACACCACAACCAGTTCCCAGGGTCCTCAATCCAACAATAAACCCACTCTGTGCTGTTGAAAAGGAAATCTCATTTTAAGGATTTGCTGCATTCCTTGTGAGACATCCCCAGAGGAAGTGAAATCACAGAACCATTTAGGTTGGAAGAGACCCTTAAGATCATCGAACCCAAGTGTTAACTCAGCACTGCCAGATCCATCACTAAACCAAGTCCCCAAGTGTCACAGCTACAAATCTTTTAAATGGTGACTCCACCACTGCCCTGAACAGCCTGTCCCAATACTTGACAATCCTCTCGGTGGAGAAAATTTTATATGTAAATCCATGTAAATGTTTTAGCCACACAGTTTGCTAACAGTATAATTAACAAAAAGTCTTAAAAGGGAAATACAATCAGTTCCTTTTGCCCTGGCAAAAACCACAGCCAGGTTGTGAAATGTACCACACTGGAGAACAGATGCATGCATGGACATTCACAGAGTTAGACCAAAAGAAAAATGTCTGCCAGGAATCTTTTCCACTGCCTTTTTGTAGGAAAAGATCACATTCCTGAGGACCATGGGAGACTGAAAAGAAACCAGTGTCTTTGTTTGCTTCCCTCTGAACATACATATGCAATTCTGTTATTACCAAATGGAAGAAGAACAATAGTGCTAAATTAAAGCATGAAAATCATTCTGTTTTATACGACTTCATGGAATCTTATAAGAATCAAACCCAAAAACATGACTGTCTTCTCCATATCCTTGCCATCTCTACCACTGGCAATTCACTCTAATTTTTCTGGATGCAAAGCAAGAGGTAAAGGCACAGCAAGAATGTGCATCTCCTTTTGTAACATTAATGGGTGATAGCAAATTAAATTAAACATCATTTGTACATAGAAGAATAAGAGCTCTTTCAGTTCTTGAGAAGGCCCTGCCACTGAGACCAGAACAGCTGCAGAACTAACAAAAACCCCAACCAAACAAAAGGAAATCTGTTGTTTTCACTATTCTTCAGTTCCTTAAATATCCATTCAATTTCTTCATTTCTAGTTTTGCAATTTATAACAAGTCAACCTGAGAGGATTCAGCACTTTTCATAGTTGGATAATGAAATTAATATTACTCACAAGTTCATAACTTTTATTTCTAATTGTAGAGCCTTCTAACAGTCATGCTGCTAATGTCCCCACAGTCCTAAGGGTGAGCTCCTGCCTCCTTTGAAACTACTGGTTTACTTCCAAAGGACCAGGATTTGTCTTTCAGGAAGAATGAAAAAACATGCCTGGAATATCATTAAGGATTTGATTGAGGAAAATCCTTCTATTACTTGACCCAGACTGCCAACATTCACTGAAAATCCCCAGTGGCTACTGGTCATGTCTCTCTGGTGGCCAGTGACAGGACCCAAGGGAAGAGTGTGAAGCTGTGCCAGGGAAGGTTTAGGTTGGATATTAGGAAAAAGTTCTTTTCCCAGAAGGTAGTTGGACACTGAAACAGACTCCCCAGGGCAGTGGTCACAGCACCAAGCTTGTCTGAGTTCAAGGTGTGCTTGAACAACACTCTCAGACACATGGTGTGATTCTTGGGGTGGTCCTGTGCAGGGCCAGGAGTTGGAACTTGATATTCCTTGTGGGTCCCTTCTGACTCAGGATATTCTATGATTCTAGGATAGTAGAATTTTCCCAAATGCACACCAAGGACTTCCCAAAGAGGACGAGGCCAGCAAAGACCGCACTTTTCTCTGGTCACAGCCCCACAGTACAAACGAGGAAAAGGTCCCCAAATAGTCCCAACGTGAAATGAACCACCTCTATATGAAGGTTTGCAGGAATACCAATGACAAACACCAAGCCCATTTATTGACATTTTGGGACATGTAAGCAGATCCTCATGAAAAAGAGACTGAATACTTTTCCTGTTCCCGAAATTATGGACCATCACATAAACACTGGGGTATAATATTCAGCCCCTCCATCAGTTTCCACTTAGGAAGAAACCCAGGTGAGGCTCACCAGGCTGAAGGAGGTTAGTGGGCAATGTGTGGGCAGTGCTGCGTAATAGAAGCTCCCATAGAACATATCCACGCTGCATTTGGCTCTAGACAAAATGAAATTATGGTATCACTTTCTTAAACATCAGGTTTGCACTGATGAAAACTGATGTGTTTTTTTTTTTCCCCCCCGCAGATACACCTATTGCCAACTTCTCACCTGAATAAAGGAGCTTATAGTGCCAGATCTCTAGATACTGAGTGAAAGATGGGCTTTGCTGAGAGCGAGCTTTGAACAAAACAGTCAACAGAGAAGGGAAACAATAACCAATAACTGCAGTTATAACCCCAAAATGGGCAAAATCCACCCAGCAGTGAACACTTAAAAGAATTATGAGGCAAAGTATGTAGGTCTGGTATTTGCAAGCATGGCAAATATAACCTCCTAAAGGTTATAAAGGTATTAAAATGCCCACTAGAGAGGCCAAGAATTGCTACAAGACCCAGGGAGACAGAGTTCCACTTGCAATTGTTGCATTTTCTCTCCTGGTCTACCTCAGTTCCCCTGCCCCAGGCAGAAGTGAAAGATGGTAGAAAGAAAAGTATTCTCTATTTGCTTAAACATGTAAATCTAATAAAAGTCAAAATGAAAAAAAAAAATCAAACACCCAAAACAAAACAACAACAAAACAAATCACAAAAACAATCCCGAAGAGCAGATGGCACTACCACAAAAGTTTAGGGAGATCCAATGTACATTTTCATGTGTATGTGCCTCTTTGAGATGGGAATTTGTATAATTTTCAATAGCAATTGATATTAGGGGCCAATAGGAGAGCAAAAGTGTCCTTTACACTAGAGTATGGGGAAGAGTTGCAAACACAGAACATGCAAGTGTTCACTCAGATCCAGGACAGTACAGAGGGCTAACAGATTCAAATGAAATGTGGCGAGTCCTTCAGAGGAGAAGTCAAGCTGAACTGCTGAGGAAACAACCATCTTTGTGCCATACTTTCCATCCTTTCACATCCTTCTTACCATGAACCTGCAGTTATCCCTCTCTGCCTCTTCCCCACTCTCACATGGGCACAACAGAGCATCAGCAAAATTTCTTGGATGGAACAAGTTGGAAGTTGGGAGTCATTGAAAACCATACCCACAATGGTAGGCCACTGGAATTAGCAGGAATTCTGATGCCTAACCTATCTTCATGTGTGTCTGCAAAAAACAATACCCACAGCTGCATTTGCAAAAAGAAGTCTAACCAGTGCTTTGATATGGATGCTTGAGTTTGGTTTTTTGTTGTCCCCTTGCCTCCAGCCCTTCCCCTTTCTCTTCATATCTAGCCATCACCATTTCTTGGCTATTTTTCTTTTCAAAAAAAAAGGAAAAACCCCCAATCAGTGAAATATATAACTCTCAAGTTAAAAAACTAACTAAAAAAAAAAATAAAAATCAGAAGCAGAAGTGTTACAGAATACAACTTATCCCATAGCTGTGTTTGTTCTGGAAATCCATGACTTACCAGTACTAAGGAAGCCAAAGACACCGACCCGGTAGTTTGCTGTCACGACAATGACATTACCGACGGCAGCAAGGTAGGATCCATCCAAGGTTATTTTTCCCTCCTCAGCATTGTAACTCCCTCCATTGTGGAAGAACAGCAACACTGACATGTTTTTGACCTGCCATGAAAACAATCAGCTTACTATTCCTGTAGACAACTGCTTTTGTCAGTCACTGATGAGGACACAAGCATCCTCCCCATTAACGTTATCTAAGCCATTTACAGCTCTTTATGAGTGACCATAATGAGGGGGTATCTGGCTATCTGTCTGCAATTCAGTGGCTATTGTCCACAATTGTCCACAAATCCAGCACAGTGACTTATATACCATTAAAGAGGGCACTCTGTCCAGTATAAAGCAGATCTAATGGCACCACTGTGTTCCACCAGTCCACATCTCCTCTAGGTTAGCCCAAGGCAGCTCCTGTTGCCTTGGCAGCTGAGCATATGGTGTGCTTGTCTTTGCTAAAGCATATCTGCTTCACACAAGCATGCAGGAAAAGTTCAAACAAGAGGGAAACAGGAGAAGATAAAGGCCTGTTGGATTGCTTCCTCTTGAGCAAGACTAAATAGCTGTGCAGGGCTGTCTCCTGCTCTCAAGTCTTCAGCACTTAAGCACTGCCTGGTCTAAAGAATGTCACTGCATACTGATATCAATCACACTACGTGCTCCTTCAATCTCCTCTACTAGATACCTAGAGGGGTCCTGCAGAAAGGACTTTATGTCTGCAAGGGTGGAAACTCACCTCTCAGGAAACACAGAGGTACTCTGCCCAGGAGAGCCCAGCAGGACTCTCAGGATGGGAAGGGGCTACGATGGTCTGCACCCATGTTAGCACTCCTTGCACAGCCACCTCATTTTGCACAGAAACAGAGGCCTTTTCCCAAAGCAGCATGAGGTGTGGACCCTTCTGCACACACAGCAGGGCTGCAGCCAGGCTGCTGCTGCTGCTGCATGAGTAGAAAAAACCCAGAACTGCCCCAGGAGACCTCAGAACATATCAGCAGGTTACAGTTCTACCAAGATGACACTCTGCAGAAACAGCCTCAGTGAAACATATGGAGGGGGTTTGTTTCAGTTTTTGTCTTTTTTTTTTCTTTCCTGCTGAATTAAGCAGAATAGCCTGCTCCAATGCTAGAAAGGTTTTTTTTTCAAAGTGAAACCTCAACTTTACATTCAGCACTTTCATCCCCTATTGCCCACTTCGGGACTATCCTGAAGGAGGCTCCTCTCTCCTCTGCTCAGCAGCAGATTACATACACCCACCATCCCACTTTCTGCATTGGCAGCTGTTGGTGTTTTCTGAAGAAGGGCTGGTGGCCCCTGCAGCAGCAGCAAAGTATATCTGGGGTTGGTTCTCCCTGCAGTTAGAGGGCAATGGGCTCTGCTGCTGTTATTTTCTGGATGGAGCTTAGCTGAACACAGCAGCACCATCTGTTCTGGCAAAGGATGTCTCCAGCAAAAAACATGACTGGCTGTATAGGGGAAGCAGAAGATGGCTGCAATGTCCTGAAAAATTATGGAATAGGAGACAAACAACCCTCAGCTGCCCTTAATTTTTCACAACTGTGCACACTCGTCGCTTATATATCTGGTGAGTCACTTCAGGGGCTTCTTGTGAACATGACAACGTTACCAAGAAAACCCAAGAAATTGCAAGCACTGAGACATGCTGCTTTTTCTCATGAACTTCTCCGAATTGAAATTGCCTAATTTGCAGTGCCTTGTCTGTGGTTCCCATTTCTGCACTGCATGCAGCACAGAGAGAGATGGGGGTAAAGAAAAAAAATGAAATAATCTGTTTTCAGATGGAAACTCGTTCTGAAATACAACCACATTGAGCCATGTCAGCTAAAACAGTATTAACCATCACACTAAACCTGCTCCATCCCCTCAGTTCACCATGTTTAAGCCTGAGGTTCATACTAAGCATTTCCTAAGTGTCCACAGCCTCCGTAGCACCATGACCTTCAGCTGCCCTGTAAAGTGCATATTGCATCATTCTGAGTGACTTTACCCAATTCTACAGTGATTAAAAGCTTAAGAAAGGTTAAGACAGGCAACAAAATTTTGAAATGGCAAACCAAAGCCATTTGCAACAGTTGCAACAGATATATGGAGCAATTCAGGGGAAGATTTAGCACTGGGACTGTGCACAGTGTCAAGTGTATGGATGTAGCATTCCCATTTCTAGTCTGCATCCAGCAATGGGAAGCCTGGCAGCTCCATCATGGTCTCATGACTGCAAGGTCTTAGGTTCCATGAGCAAACCCTAATAGGGGAATGAAGTTCAGCAGCCACCAGGAAGCTGCAAGTCAACTGAAGTCTGAAAAGCTTCATAATATTCAGAACCATCTTCTCCATCACAGAATCACAGAATGGGTAATGTTGGAAGGGACCACCAGTGGGGTCATCTGGTCCAACCCTCCCTGCTCATCCTTCTGTAAAAAACACAGGGATAGATTTAAACTCTACCAAGCCAGGCAACCTCCAGTGCAATGGGGATGATGCACTAAAGATGGAAATAACACGTGCAGAGGATGGGGTAACAGGAGAGAGGGTACACTTTCTATTCTTATTTAGGGGAGATTTTAAAGTCTTGATCTTACAATTAAATTCTTCCTAAACAAAGGCAAGGCACAGCTTTGCTTTGCTAGTGTGACATGTGGTGATGATTATTGATGGAAAAAAGTCAGAAGTGTCAGTTCAATTGTGGGACTTGTAGCTATGGAAGCAAAATGAAGTGATGTCATTCACCTTCTTCACTGCTTGATACTTTGAGAGTCCTTTGGTGACAGGCATCAGTCCCTGCACTATGCTCTTGTTAAGGCTCGAAATGCTCCTGAATGACCTCTGCACTCACTGCTTTTCAAGAGATTTTGTATTCAATATTTACTAGCTGATTTAAACCTTCCGTGGGCTGAAAATATATAACTATAGCTCTCTGTAAGGAAAAAATAGAGCTCGCCACAAAAAGAGACAGGAAAATGCAATGCCTTCTGCTCCCAGCTACTTCTGCAAAACCAGAAGTTTTAGTTCTCTCTTGGGCTGGACTTCTGCATGGGAAACTGATCGACTTGATTGGATCAACTTCTACCTTACACCTCTACAAAAGAAGAATTCAGTTCACAGGACCGCCAGGAGAAGAGACAAGCCTATTTAGTCTATGAGATGGTAGAAAATATAATGCTTTCAAATAAACTATCTTGGAAGCAGCTCTTAAGCACAGATGGCAAACTGCCTGGGACAGTGACCTGATGGTTTCAATAAGCGGTGACTGCACTCAAGGGAAAATGACAGTCTGATGCTGCAAGGAAAAGACAGACTGCTGGTCTCTCTGATGATTAAAACGGGCCTGCACAGGACTCTCTGTGCTGCTCTCAGATAGCTAGACCAGCTCTTTCCAGACATGAAGTATGACAGACTTATAAATTTCTACTATAACTACCATCACTTTCTGAAAATTTCCAGTAGTGTGGAAAGAAACAGTTCCTGTCTCTGGGCCCACTCTTCAATGGGATTCACATGTTATTCAGTATCTTCGTTCCCAGCCCCCCAGGGGTTGGCCAATCATTTTAGCTCAGCTTTAACTTGAAGCTTTCTTTTATATCTGCTCAGAATGAGAAAATCAAGAACTTTCCAATGACGATTCCTCATATTGTACCACTGGCCCAGTCATTTCTGAAACATGTATTTTTATGCCCTGTGAGCTGGCCACAAATCTAGTACTGCTTGCCACTCTCATTCCTCAACAGATCTCCCACAGATGTCAACAGGGGAACAGTAAATATGAGGATGAAAAAAAAACATCAGCAGCTCCCTGACTGGTGGCAAGTGTTGATGTATTGTCTTGCATTATTGGCTCCCAGACAGTTGGTCTCATTGCGGGAACACTGCCATTTCTGTCCCTAATTTATCCACCTTTGCCCCCATCTTCTTCTTGTACTTTGTTTCCCTCTTTGTCTCTCTCTTATTTCTAGTTTTTAGACACCTGAGTGCCTAATTCAACTTTGCAGGCTCTGTGAACACAGGAAAAACAACCACTCATGTCAATTAAATGTCCTTTGAAAAGAGACAGTCCTCAGTTACAAAAAAAAAAAAATAAAAAAATCTACTTTTCTCCTACTTACAGAGGTGGCAGGAACAAAGATGTTCAGATACAGGCAGTCTTCACTGACAGACTGTGACGGGGCCTCTCCATCTCCTGGCTGCCAACACGCTGCCCTAGAGACACCAATTGAGAAAGTTACAGTAAAAAGGCTTATACTCTTTCTCCACTGCTGACACTTGCTTATATTTTGATGCATTAGCTTAATAAAAGAATTAAATCTGCAGATCTCAATTGTGTTTAAAACTTTGCCCACCTATATGTTAATAACAGGTATGTAGGTTTGAACACACACACACAGTGCATTGTATTTGTACATCCAGAGTCCTCCCTCAGAAACCCTGACCCATTTTAAAAAGCTAAGAACTTGAAAATATGTTTTCAAAAAACTCACACTTTACATAAACTGCACAAAATTAGCTGCAAGGGGAGCAGAGCTGGGGGTCTAGGCACAGATTTCCCTTGCTACTGCCTGCACACCTATATGATCCATTCTTCTGATGAAATGTCAGTTATTTGTTTTAATTTCTAATAGTCTGTGGGCTACATATATTTTGATCTATTTTCTAATGGTCTGTGGCCTCCATTTCTTTGTGTTTAATTTATTTTCTAACGGTCTGTGAGAAAATACAGTAAGTTTAACATTTTAATGCATTTTTTAAATCTCTGCTTTAAGCATCAGAGCAGACCATTAACAGTGCCAATCAGTGTTAAATGTGACCTTGCAATAGGAGTTCAGGAGCCAGCCACGTACAGAAAATCATTCTCTGGCCATCATCTGAATGAGAGTCATATGCTCAAGCACATCAAGCATAAGAATCAAGTGGATGATCCTTGAAGTTCAGTAATAAGCTACTTTGAAGCCAGCTCCTTCTACTTTACAGCCATATTTGTATCAGACAATGAGTTATCGAAAAACTTCACAATTTATTAGAGAATAATAAGAAAAAAAAAGGCTATAGAAAAGATGGTAATATTCAGAGAATTATTTCTAAATTATTATTTTAATGCCATTGGAAAATTTTGCCCTGAAGGTGGAAATTAATAGAAAACCACAAGGAAAATGACCAGATTTAATGGAATTCTACAATTTTTTTCCATAAGGGAGATTCCTAGGACAGTGATATCACTCAAGAGCTTTCACACTGACATGGAGAAGCACATCATCTCCAACCAAAACTGCTAAAGCCACTTTAGGCAGAGAAAATACGAATTCCCAGGTAGGAACCCTGCCAGGACAACAGGTCTAACACTATTAATCATACAACTTTCCACAGGGCAGCAGGAATCATCACCCACGATGACAGCTGGTTTTTTTGTCCGGCTCTCAAGAGTTCCTCATGCTGGGACCGACTCCAGTGAAAGGCTGCCACCTGCTGAGGCAAGGCCACAGCTCTTCCAGCAGCTGGAGACTCCAACAGGTGGATGGGGGTTCTGGTTGGTTTGGGTTTGGTTTTTTTAAGTATTTTTTCAGGTCCAGGCTGGTAAATAAATATTTCTCTTCCATCACTAATAGTACTGTGCTAATGTGAATTTCTTATATACAAGTATTGAGCAACATTAATATAGAATCCTAAAAAAATCAACACTTTCTATACATACAGAGAATGAGGTCTCTTCCATTCTACAAGGGCCAAGTCAAATAATTATGTTTTTAATCTTAAATTAATAATAGAATATAATGGCCAAATTCTTCACTGGATTAAGAAAGCACTGTGAATTCAAAAGATAGGAACAGATTAACTAAGGTCCCTAAACTGTTTTGAAAACCAGCCAGGCTGCTCATTGCAACACCAGGTCTTCAAAGGGAGACCACAGAGGCAGATAGGTCTCACCAAAACCCTACAGACACCACACTGTGGCTGCAAAAACCAAGATTGGTGCTGTTTGTGCTAATTTAACATCACTGTGAACCTGAGAAAGCAAAAAGCCACGTCCCACCAGACCCCTCCAATGTACATGAGGTTGTGGCTACTGTGGTTATGCTGTTAACACCTCTGCAGGTCAGGTGCAACCTGGAGGACAAGATCACCACAGGCCAGATGCTCTTTCACTCCCCAAGAAAACAAATGCCACATCTCTTTTCACTCAGTTCATCAGAGACGTTGCTAGAAACCTCTGGAGACAAATCCTGAGTAAAGGAGGGACCAAAGAGATCCCACAGAGCTGATAGGTGTCTAGATCTGTAGCCTCAGGGTGTGTTTCCACCAAAGGAGGTGGTGATTCATGTCAGGCCTGCAGGCCCTCATCCTCCCAGATCCCTTGCAAAACCTCTCATTTCCTTAACCATGAAGCTCCTGGTCAGATTCATTTGCTCAAGTAGTTCATCACTAACCACATGAGGACCACTCTTGGTGCCAGGAATTGAACAGGACTGCATGGCTCAGTGGGCATAATCTCAAGAGACCTCAGCTCCATATTAGGTGCCTGGGGAGCTCTTGAGTTACTAAACCTCAGCTCTCAGCCCTAATTTCTTCAAATTCCTCTACAGAATGTTCATGTAGACCTTCAACAAGCCCTTCTGACTGTTCTGCATCTTCAGTCTCCCATTTCTTGTTTCTGTCATTATTTTTTCCTTGCAGGTATTCATGAAACAGTCAACAGGGATGCACTCCAAGAAAGACCCTATAAAAAACACTCCACTTTTGTAGCTTATAGCTTGTTTCTTGTTGTTGTTGCACTTTTATTTGCTGTGGAGTTTTTGTAATCCACTGTCCTGACATGTTCAACAGCACTGGTATTCTAAGCAGTGTCACCCAAACCCTCCTTCCTTTAGGAAACACATTTTCAATTTGTCATTTTGTTTCCCCAATGCAACAAAACTAAGATTCCTCTTGTAAGACTAAATGAACCACAAACATGTATGCAAAGGTGATGTCTTTAGAGTGCCTTCAACCTAAACTCACCAAACAGAGGTGCCTGTACAACCCTGGAGAGCCAAGGCCAGACAAGGCAGAAACATTAGATACAGGCACTTAGGAGAAATTTAGCCCATCTGCTAATACAGTTCCTAGCACTCTTTCCATCTTAAGGCATTACCTAAGCGTTTATAACTTCTGTATTTCTGTCCAAGTCATTTAGCAAGTATTTCCCTTTTAATAATTTTTGGACAGAAATGATTTTCTGGGTCCTTCAGCCCGATCTCCTGGACACAACTAGGCAGAGAATTTCTATGTGAGGGTTACAGCTTCTGGTTACACAAATGTTTAAATGCCCCTGTTTGACTAAATGTCTACAAATTTATGGCTCAGTAGGAGCAAAATATATTTGTATAAATATCATAAATACCTGTGTAAATACCATTCAGAATGAAAACGGACTGACAGCAGACAATTGGTGGGGAGTTACATATTCAAGGCGATGTACTGGAATTCGCCTTTTTTCTTAAGGGGCTTGCATGCTTTAACATACAGATGGACAAAATATTCTTTTTGCTAATCCAAGTCCCAAAGTTGTACCTATCTGTACTCTATAGGTTGTTTTGCAAGAAAGGACATGGGTACTGTGGTCGTCACTCCAGCCACTTTCATACACCTGGACGGACAAGCACTTGTGTAGGTGGTGACAGCGGTTTCTTACCGAGCCACTGTGGCATTCCAGGTTTCCACCCAAGCAGAAGGTTCTGGGGGACTGAAGCGCCTCTCTGCAAGGGGAGGGGCAGCGTATGGGACCCCCAGGAACTGGCTGATATTTCTCCATTCCGAGCCAATGCGGATCACCCGGGATTTGCCCAACAGATCTCCATGGGACGGGATGTACACTGATGGGGTCAAATACGATTCAGAAACGGGCAGGAATAAATCTGTCACAGAGGGAACACAGGAAAAATAATTTGCTTTTTCCAGTTATTACCATTTCAGAAATGAAAAGCAGCCCCATTTCCCTTAGTTTGAAACTGCTAAGTGCCCAATTCCCTTCTTTAAATGAAACAGATAAATCTTCTACTGTCTCACTATAAAATAATTCATTAAAACAGAGCTATTTCTTTCCTAAAACAATGTATTTGATAGGCAGAAACCAAATTCCAAGCCATGGAACTAAAACTGTACAGAACAAACACACAAGTCTAGCTTTTTTTGTCTCAGTCTCTGATTTTGCTGCCCTTGACAATGACAAACCCCTTTTCTCTCATCAAGTTTGAACCTAGAAGGTTCTCATTGACTTGTCAATTCTTCACAGAATGTCAGTGAAAAGAAAAGGAAAATTTTCTTCCCTCTCCCCTTATTTTTACTTGGGTTCTATTTACTTGTAATAAATGAAATAATCAGCATTACATGAAAAGAAACCAGTATCTATAAAAATTAAGGGGAATAAATCAAATGAAACTTACAGTTTCAAATAAGTACTTAACCATATAATAGAATTTTTACCTCTCTACACTGTCTATAGAATGTCTTTTTCTCTCTAAAATAATTTTCACTCCTTTAAAATATTAGTTCATTCTGTTTTGGGAGCAGGGGTGTCTGTTTGGGGTGTTTATTTTGTTTTCTCCAGGGGTGTTTATTTTGATTTCTCAGCACTCTGTGTGTTATTCTCAGAGTTTAAAAGGAAGGGCATATCATCTGCAGATTAAAAAGTTCAGGACTTTCACTACTGTTCTTGTTTGGTTTAACTGTTCTTGTTTGGTTTTACTGTTCTGCCCTTTCCAAAGCATCTTTCATAAACTAGACTTCCTTTATTATATTTTCATCAACACTAGAGGGTAATATTATGATTTCATGCATTTTTACAAAAAAAGCTTGGCTGTAACTCCACTGAAACAACAATAGACAAGTGTCTAGGAGACCTCTATATCTCTTCATGTCTAGTGAGGATTTCCTCACTCCTCCACTCACAAGAACTGTGCACAGCTGACGTCTTTCCCCAACAGCCTTAACCTGTTCTTACCTTGTCTCCTGTAGATATAGGTGGCAGGTTCTTTGAGTAAAACTCGGCAGCTGTGCCCTTGCAGGCCGTGTGTGCAGATCTGCGTGTCAGGGTAGAAAACGCATCTTATTGCTGAAGGCTGGATTTCCAGTGTAACCACTGTACATGACTGGTTCTTTGAACAAGCTGTGAGGTGAAACATGAAGAAAAAGAGCAGGTAAAAATGTATCCTCACAGTATTTTGTATGACACTATGCTTAAAAGAAGGGTTTTACAACAGGTGAAGCAGCAAGGATATGAAGCAGCCCTAAAGCACAGTAATGGGACATAAATGTCCTCAAATTCCCAGAAAATTCTCCAAAATAGCCAGAAGACTAGAAGGTTATATTTGCTTTAAAATGGAATAACACAGCAAGAGAAATATCATCACAGGTTTCAGAAGGAGAAAAGTACTATCTAATGAGGTACTGATAACCTCATCTGAATTCAAACAGTCCCCAGGGAGCCCCAGGAAAAGGTTTCATCCTCAGTCTGTACTCAGAGGTGGGTATCCAACACTTTGCCTCTAGAAATAATCCTTCAGTTACAGGAAAAGTTAAAAAAACCAGTTAGTTACACTGCTCACCCTCACAAGGTGAGGACCATCTACTGTGGGACCATTCCACAGATCATCTTTAGCAGCAGGTGGGAACTTTTCCTTATTTCTACTGCCCTGCAGCATTTAGGATTTCCCAGTCATGTGCAGTTAAAGGACTCTTTCCCTATCTAGTCAGGCTGTTGATTAAAGCAGTTCCCTTTGCTTCATCTTAGCTCTCAGTTAAGATGCCCTCACACACCACCACTATAAGTTACTTTAGGTAGTGGTCAGTGGGTCTCTCATCTGTCTCACTCAATGAGCTTCCCTTAACTGTCCTTTAGAAAAATATGACATCATCACTTTCTTTATTTGCTACAATATGCTCCAGGTTGTACAATGCCTGGAGAAGTAAGAGACATTTGTGCCCAAGAAGTGTTAAAATTACACAATCACCATACGGCATTTTATGTCTAGTGTGTATTTCATCAGCTAAACTATTTCAGGTCCCTTCTCTTAGATTCAAAACCACCGGGATAGTATTTAAAAATAAATTAAATTAGTGTATCTATGTCAGAAGTGGGGGAGCTATTCTTGCTTTTCAGGTTCACAGGTCAGTATTTTCTGCAAAGCTATGAATGACCATTTCTTACCAGATAGGCAAAAGTCTCTGGCAGTGGAGAAGTAATTGGATATGTCTCTACTAACTTGCACAACTTCAAAGTTTGAGATGGATGAATCCACGACAACAGAGGACACATTTAAGGGTTGCCATACATCCAAAATCTCTGTAAAATGAAAAGAAAAAATAATATAACTAGAAGAATCATTAAAAACTTCAGAGGAAACTAATATAGAATTAAAAGCATTGGGGAGTTCCCCAATGAACAATGATCCTTTGCATCAACTGGGAATAAATGAAATATAATGGTTTACAAAAGTGTTCAGTTAAGAAAAAGGCAAATCTGAAGTAGCTCCATCCAGGTTTGCATGTAAATCCAACTGATTTAAATAAAAGGAACAGAGTTACAAACATTAAAGGGCATGAATAACACATAAGCTGCTGAGTAGATGCAGCCACTAAATCCTTAGAAAGCAAATGGAGCTTAATTTCATCATTTTAATTTGATTTCGTGGACAGATTTACATTAAATTCTATAAACTCTTTTAATGTCATGTAATTGCTACATAAAGTAGATTTTGTTCTATTTCATATGTACATATGCAGAAATATATATGTGTAAATATAATCGTGCATCACATATATACAAACAAGCATATTCACATGTATACATTTTACATGCATGCACATGTGTGAGCATCTACATACACTGTTGTGTTCCTCAAGAATTGTTCTTCTCTTTCACAGAATATTTAAAAAAAAAGCCACAAACACTTCTTTCTTCTACGCAAACAGAACAAAAATATCTGCAGACTCTCAATTTTGCACAGAGAAGACAAAAAAAGAAGACTTGAAAAGGAACGGGCCTTTAATTATTTTAGTTCCTTTCAACAGTTCAGTTTGTTTCAAAAGCAGAAGGCCCCACCGTGGCCACTGAGTCCTAAACAGTAGGTTGGCATTATCCTCTCCATGTAATTGTAGGGTGAGGACAGAGCTGAGTTAGCTGTTCCTTTGCTATTCCTGGTGAGCAGGTCTTGCCCTGTTGCTGGAGTTCATTTACCACACAGATGCAAAAGTTGTGAAAGTTCATTTCATTAAACTTTTCTTTTAATCTACTGAGAAATCAGTGACTGGCAAAGATGGCCAAAGTTTCCTTCCTCCCCCTCTCACAGCAAGACAGCTTGACCATAACACTCAACACCACACCAGAAACTGAGGTCTAGGGTCTCACTTGGTACTCAAACAACTTGGAAATCAACTTGGAAACCCTGGTGTTGACATACTTGTTCAGTTGGACTCAAGAACCAAAACCACACCACAGACAAGGCTGGTTGCATCTTTTCTTGAGCAAACAGGCAGGGAATAACAATGACTAAATTAGATTTCCCAATAATATTATTCCAAAGAATTCATGACAACATGGAGTAACTTGCCACAATCCAGGGCTATACACTGATGCTACAAGTCTTGGATTTTGCAAGCTAAATCTTTCCCTAGGAAGTGCAAACCTCAAGCACAAGTTATCTCCCAGAGGACAAGCTGAAAAAACCTGATGTTCTACCACCATTGCCAAGGCTGATGCCTTAGTGCTGGTCCATTTGTCATCCCCCTTGTTGAAGAAAACTTCTGATGGAGTGATGAACTGACCTACTCTGCTCCATATAACCTCCCAAACAGCCCTGTCCCAGATCAGGCTTTTGAACTAGAGGCAAGAAAGCAGGGCTGGGGCCCATGGGTCCTTTACAACCACTTCAGCATCATTCCATTCCTGTTATATTTGGGAGCAACTCTTTCAAGAGGAATGTTGAAAGTTTCCAGCTAAGTAGAAATGAAGGTTAATTCGGTGTTGCACATTTCTATGTAAAAACCACAAGCTTAGTTGATGTCACAGGGTAGCAAAGTCATCACCAGCACTCTCTTCAGAGGGAGTCTGAACTAGTCAGGGGGCAATGACCCTGCAGTCACAGCTTGACTTGTGCAACAGACCCACTGTACTGAATATTTTCTTCCCCTTAAGCACTGACTATTCAATCATTTTAGAGGAACACAGTGATTTTAGTCATATGGAGATCAGTATTTTTCATATTCTCAATGATTTCTCTATTTCAAAACATTTAATATGAGCTGTTGTACGATCCATGTCAGAAAATTTCAGCCTCTCCATCTAGGGTGCCAGCTTGTGGCATTTATTTAGAAAGATACGTAAAAACAGAAATGAACTCTGTAAGTGATGGAAAAGTAACCATTACAACCTTTCCAGAGATTGTCTGCCTGCAGTACTACCCCCCCTGACCCTCACATCCCCCCCCCAGTCTTTCTTTTCCACACTAAATTTTACAGGTTTTGTGGGTTTTTTTCTGAAAACATGAAGGAGAAAAGATTTCTTTTATCAATATAACTCAAACTTTGTTTTTCCATAACAGCAATGTTGCCATCCTGTGCTGTGTACAGTACTAGTAACTGAGGCCCTACTACTGGAACGAGCCATCTCTCCAGGTTCAGACACAAAGCTTCAAATTACCAGCTGTGGTTCTTCCAAAGGAGAGCTTTGTCTGGATTCCACTGTAAGGCAAAAAGTCTGGGTGCATCAGTGGTTTTGGAAGATATTTCCCCAGACTGACTCTCTTCCCATAGCTTCCCTGACTCACCGAGTGACCTCGGGCAAGTCTCATCATCACATTTCTCCATTTCCCACACATCAAAACAAATCTACAAAAGCAAAATAAATTTCTTGGATTTACACCTCTGACACTTGAATTTGGCCTCCTATTCCCACTTCACAAGACAAACTTCCTACTTCTACATAAAAAGATACATATTTTACCCCTTTATGTGGGATAGGTCAAGTCAGTAACATATATTTTATATGCATATGAGACACAATGGGCACTTTGCAGCCCATGTTGGGCACAGAAGAGTGACCACTCATGATGGAAACATCCTTGGTCATGCATTCACACCTGAACTACTTATTCATTGCCCCAAATCTAACAGAGGTGACCCTTGAAAAATCTCAGACGGGGTTGTTCTTTGGTTTGGGTTGGAGTATGGAGTGGGTTTTTTTTTTCATTCTCAGTCCTGTATGAAACATCCCTAACCTCAGATCAGATTTATATGCTGAGACTTACAGTGTTTTTCTTCTCCCTTCCTCTGCCCAGCTGGCTCCAGATGCAGAGAGATGCAGAAACACTAATGCTTATTTTAATAACAGAGTGAAACCCTTTAAGCCAGAGACGTGCATGGCACCACTGTGGACCCTGCCAGCCAGCAGAGAGCTGCAAAAGAGATTTTGGCTGTTATTTGCTTCCTTCTTCCCTCCTCCTGGCCGTGGATCCAGCAATGCCCATAGATCCCCACTTTCCATTGCTGATCTAAACTTGACTTGTGTAGAAACTGCTCTCATGAGGCATCGAGCTACAACCTGGCACTGTGTACTGGGAATGCACAGTGCACCTGATGGGCTGGAAGACATTTCTGCTTTATATATAGGTTAAGCTCTGACCTTCCAAACCACATTTTGGCAAATGCTTTGATTGGATAATTACAGACCTCTGAATCCATCCAGCCCTGTAGCTTTTACTGCAAAATTATAGATGTCCCATACAGAGAGCCTCTCTCTTCCAGATGTTCTTGTTTGGGTAAGCAAGGTTTAAGACTGGATTTGCAAAAGGACTCACGCTGGCCTTACTCTGTTCCCACTCCATTTATAAGATCAGAAGACTGGAAAAGATTTTCTGGGGACACAGAGTTCAGCCTCCCACTTTCACAGGCAATGAAATTTTAAACCCCTTAAAATAAAGTCAACAAAAGTTTCACCACTGACTTCAGTGGAAAAAAAGAGGCATCAGTTCTGAGTTTGCTGGAAAATTTAACATTTTATATAAGGAAACAGATACAGAAATACAATAAAATAACAAGTTAAATTTAAAAGAAAACTCATGAAGTTGAGGAGGTTAATACAAGCTTAAGGCACATAAATCGGATCTCTGGGTTCAGTATGCCTGATTTATGTTTGAAAGACAAGTTCTGATCTTAGTTCTGAGATTTGTAAGCCATATTCAATAGTCCTGACTCAAGCCCAAAACATGCTTGCAGACTGAACTCAGTGTTTTATATTCCCAGTATTCAGAGTATTTTCCCAACAAAGACTGCTAACCTGTCTATATACCAGCAATCTCCAAAACCAGCAAATCATCAACTCAGAGTGGACCTGCAGAAATTATATCCTTCCTAAAATATAACTGCTTCTCATTTTTGTCCATCTACTGAGATTTGTATAATTCAAAGTGAGTAATTTCCTTTAAACTACTGCATAATAACTGTAATCACACCTCAGACAAACAGGTCCCAAAACTAACAGCTGTGTTATTTATGGTCTTTAGCAGTGAGTAATCTTGCTATATTACTGTAAAACGCAAGCTTTCTGCCTCCTTTAGGGTTGCCATAAGTTATAATAAGTGACATAGTAGTGGGATATTAAAACTATACTACATATTTATTCAGGTTTAAAGCAAGCTTTTTTAAAAAGCCTAAAATCCTCATATTTACAAACAGAATAAAAATAAAATTTAACACCAAAGATAGAGCAATTCCACACCAGAGGTCCATTTTGCTGTGGGGGGGGGCATGGTAGATCAGTTCCCAAAGATGGATAAAAAAAAAAAAGCTGTCTTTGTTTCACAGCAAAGAACTCTCTAAAAAATACTCAGCATTGTGGGAAAACAGGAAGAAAAATGATACAATTAATCACCAAAGTCAGCTACATCAGCGTTTGTACTATCAGCATCTCATCTCTCTTGAGAATGGAAATACCCCACATGCTCATACAGCCCAATGGGAAATTTATTCCCATGTTGGAATATCCCATAGCCACTGCTCAGTCCTGCCTCAAGGGAATGGCTATAAATCATTAGGGGATCACAGGAGGCAGAAACAGGAAAGGCCTAACACATCATTACATCCATGTGCCTCAGTGGTTTCTTAATTAATTACTTGATTTGCATGGAATGGGAACAGAGCCCATATGATCTGTGTACAATCCACAGTCCCATACAGAGACCACCATTTAAGAGCCACTGTCTTCTAGTCATTGCCAAATGTGCCATAGACACATCCTACTTAGAACTGAAGACAGAAATGTTCAGTAAATTTTGGATAATTACTGTATACAGTTCATAAAGCTCATAACAAAGTCAAATGTCATACATCGGGGTCACTGCTCCCACATGCACAGGGGTATTTTCAGGCTCTCCAGTCTGCTTTAAGCACAAGTACTCCTTCTAAAAATCCAGGTAACATGTTTCATAGATTGTTTTGCTTCTTTCAGACTTAATTGTAAAGACATAAAAACTTCCACAGCTCAAACCCCTGTGCATGAACTGTATGAATAACAGCATTACATATTGTAAAATAACAATACGTAATATATAATAAAAACCCCACCTTTCTTATCTCCCCTAGCCTACAACTGGCTACAGAAAGTTCCATTTCAAACCTAAATCTGAGACCTGGCTGTTTCCTCTTTTGTATAACATTCCTCCATGTTCACACAGCTCAGTGGAGTTGTTATTTAAATACCACCGTAAGTAAACCAAGACTGCAGGATGACATATGAGCATCTTCGGCACGGACAGTCTTAAAATAACAGCTGTCCTCCCACCGTTAAAGGTCACAGATCATACCTGAAACTCACCACAGATAGTTCCATACTCAGTCTCATTACAGCTCATTTTCTTCAGGGGAAAAAATGCTCCAAATGTAACAAGCTGGACTTTCCCAGTCTGTCCAGACTATCGATTTTTCAAGTATTATTTCTTAGATCACAGAAACTATGCAGAAATCACAACAGCACAGCAGAAGTACGCTCTGCTCCATGCAGTGGATGTATGGAAGTAAATTAAAGTATTAATTCAGTTAAAAATGAAAAACACACATTCAGTTAAACACACCACAGCCTGGTGATGAAGATGACTTGGAGAGTTTAACCTTGTAGCAGAAAGGCTTTTGCAAGAATACAAATTGGTAAAACTTGTCGAAGAAACGACAAATCAACAAGAATTCAGGTAAAAGCATGCAGTTCACCTCCCTCCCGCTAGAGAGGAGTGACCTGCAGGCACTGTAGAGCACTTAATTCCTGGTTTTCACAGGCTAATGGGGTATCTAATGAGTGTTAGAAACACAGAGCAGTGCTGTTGGCAATGCGAGTAACCTGGGAAAAGCCCAGCAGAGCCTCAGGCTTTTGAGAGGAATCACAGGGCTGCAAAGGGCTGCTGGATGAACAGTCTGATACAAGGCAAAGAACAAGAAGAACCTCGAGCCTTCCCCCCGTGCTGTGTCTCCCCTGAGGTTATAGCCTCACACAGAGAAGAGTCTTTTTTTGCATCTCCCTGGTGGCTGCAGGCTGCTCTATGACACAGCATGAAAAGAAGTTGCTCTTGAAAATTATTTTTGTCATTGCAGATTCGAAAGTCTAGAGATTTTATGATGATTACTTCTGGTGAACTTCTTTAAAAGCCCAGACCGGAGAACAGAAGGAAAACAAAGACCTCCCCCATCAGCAGAGCCTTTCAAAGGTAATTGAGAGTGGGTTCAGAATTACATTAACCAGCTCCCTCTGCACTCATGGGTTTGTATGTCCAGCTTGTTCCCTGACCTGATCCTCCTCCACTGAGGATAAATCTCCCTTGCTGCAGTTTTCCCTCCAGTCTGAAGGGCCTAAAGGCTGGACTTGCCAGTAAAGACTGAGGTGAAGAAGGCACCTTGTCCTTTTCCATATCCTTTGTCACCAGGTCTCCTGCCCCATTCCTCAGCAAACCCATATTTTCCCTACTCTTCCTTTTGCTACTCCCCACGTACTTGTAAAAAACCTCCTTGTTGAGACTTTTTCTGTTATTTTATGGTCCTAGAACACCTCTACCCTCTCTATTGAGAAGATCAATGATTAAAACAGGTAAAGCATCTACTTCCCACAAGGATGAAAATAAGTCTACTCATCTGGGTTTCTTCACAACATGTCGGGGCTGCAAACACCACAGATTTTGAATGGAGCAGCATCCTGACTGCCCATGGGAGGAAGCAAAGTGCTGGGCAGTGTCCTGAGCACTGCAAAGTGGCTAAATAGGAAAGGAGGCAGTCAAGTGCTCCAGTTAACTCAGCCTCTAGACTGGACATAACATTAACTTCACTATTACACAGAGCCTTCCTGCAAAGCATGCAAATCTAAGCATCTTTCTGATCTTTGGATGGAAAAAAAATTATATTTTTATATGTATATGTGCTAACATGCATACACACAGATATATACACACAGCAATGCCCTTTAAATAGTGACATTTCCTCACACTCACCATCTGGTTACTACAGAGGAGTCACAGTAATTATTCCCCCCCCCCCCCCCGCCCCATGCACAAGCATTACCACAATGTACAAAATTCACTCACTTCTCTGTTATGCCCAACTCTAAAACAATAAGTTTTCTATAGCATCTATTAATATAACATATATAATCGCCAAGAGTTTGGAAACAACGTTTTTGAAAATTTTCCGAAACCTCTGACAACACGGCACAATCTGACTTAGGCAGCCAGGCTGGTACTTCTACTATCGAAATGAGGCAGAACAAAAGAAGGACAGATGGTGCCCAGTTGCATTTTGAATGTGTTGCTGCACCCACTGGTGTCAGAGGCAAAATCTACAGGATACTGCTGCTAATTTGACTTCCAGGCCAGTTGTGCTCTTTGTAATTCAGTGATTTGTCCTGACCCCTGTCATTCCTCAGGACCACAGCTCTAATCTGGAGTCCTGCATCCTTGTGGGAAGGCTCTGCCTTCTTGAGTTGCTCAACCAGACCTCTGCAAACCAGAGACATCCCTGCTTGCTCTGTATTTGGAAAGATGACCTGGGAGTGGATGTGACAGATCAGGGCTGTTACTAAGGGCAAAATGACTCACATCCTGGGCCTAAGTTTTGGGCAGCCTTTAGAGTAGAAAGTAAATGACAGAAAGACCTAATTTCCTAATTTCCTTAAGTGTTGCTTAGGTCACTGTTTTCCTAGACTTAAGCAAGCAAGAAAAAACGTAAAAGAAACATGACAAAATTACTACTAAACTTCATGAGGAAGAAAGTTTTAGTGACATGGTTTTCTACATCCCATGGGAAAAACAAAGGAGTTTGCAAAGGAGCTGAATTACCCAACCTACATGCTACCCCACCACCTCTTCAAAGCATTTTACACAAAAATTACTTCTGCTTACCCATGAAGGTATGAGTTTTCCTTCTATTACATTAAAAAGATAATTTAAAAAGCACAAATTCTACTAATAAATACAAAGAGTGTGAACTTGATCATGACTGGTGGCCATGGATATGATGATAAAATGGATGATAATAAATTCTGAACTCAATATTGCAAATATCAACCATCCCCTGTAAACCCAGTTGCATATGGTTTAAGGAGAGACAGATACAAGCAGATTAAATATTTCTTCAGATCAAACAGAAAATCAAGGGCAGAGATGGACAAGGATTCTCAATTTCAGTTTAACTAGAGGGTTAAAATGAGTTTTCCAGTGACCAGTCAACCTGCTTCCATTCCATTACACACAGCATTTAGCAGCTATGCTGTGTATTTCTGGAAAGGACACATCAGGGAAGACTGCAGCTGTTGACAATTTGCATATATTTTTAGGGGCCAATAGACACAAAGTCCTGAAAGACAGCAGTTAAGTTTCATTTTTTAAGAGGATCCATCCACTTTTAAAATAACACATGTGAGTACCATAAGATTCATCACATCCATTGAAAATTATGTGGCATCCACACTCATAAATAAATGCCTTCATCAATCCTGCCAAATATTTTGTTTCAGTGACCTCATGAGGCAGTGAGTGTGGGATATTAGGTCAGCATTGCAGATATGACAATTATTCCATTTAAATGATACACAATTAATAAAAATAAATAATCACCTAAATGAGTAACCTCATGGAGAAAACAAATATTTCATAATAGTGTGATGTTTTAGCAATGTGCACAAAATAGAGGATGTTTCCTTTTATTTTTTTCCATAATACATGAATGCACTTACCTCTTTCTGGCCTGAGAGGTAAACTAACAGGTGGACAGAGGTCAGGCATGGTGCTCTTCAAGTCAGCTAAAAGCAGAAAAAAATAACACATTTGAAAACAATTATATTTGAAGGTTTAGAATGAATCTCAATATTTCCATCATTACTTCTGGGATCTGGATGTTGGATCTTCTCACTACAAATACCAAGAGTAAGGATGTGAGGCTGCTTTGCTGTCTAATCCTTTTGAGCTCATACATGAAACCACACTTCCCTAAATTTCCATCTTTATAAACATTCCTGCAAACACTTTGTGGGGCACAGTTATGAACAACTCATTTCAGTAGCTCTGTGGTTTTTTCCATGCACCTCTCTGCATTTGGGCTTCTGCATCACAAGAGACATGAGCTTTTCTCTGCTTCCAGCAAACTGGAATTTCTCAAAATAAGAATTAGAAACAATGCAGTTTCCAGCACAACACTTTCCAAATTAAAATTCAAGCAAGAATTTATTTCCATACACAAAACTTCTTATTTGCTAACATTTCTCAAAAATAATTTGCAATCACAAAAAAAGCACATCAACTTAAAATAACACATTATGAAATGTGGAGGCACGAGTACCTTCCTACAAGACTGTGGACTAAAGTAAAAAACCCTGTTTCATGCTAATGTCCCCACTGCCTACGATAAATCACTCCTTCGGATTTCACTCACTTTCCTTTTTAGCCTCAGAGCCTTTTTGTTCCTTTTCCTGGTTCCCAGACCTCAGCACAGCAGCACAACTGATACAAATTTTTGTCTGTAAATATCTCTATTTGCATGAACATCTGTGCCTTGCTGTGTGTCACGGTGGAAACACATCTGAAGCTCCCTCACTACATGAGGAAACCTCACTGTCCTGACACTCCCCACTCTGCATACACCCCAGGCTCCCCTTCGTCATCCCTCTGTCCATCAAGTGAGAAACGCCCTTTATTTTATTTGGTTCTTTGCAGACAAGAGGAAAAGGAATTCTAAGAACTAGAAGCGTACCTACCCCTCTGCTGTCTGCTCTTCACCTTTCTACCATTCTTCACTCTTACCCCTCCTTCCCTCTCAACTCCCCCTGCCACCAGGACTCCTGCTTTACTAGGGCTGTTGTTCCCCTTCTCTCAGTGCTAGATCCTAAGCCCATCCATCCCTGGCTTCTCTAGTGCTTCCCAACTCCACGTGTCTCTTACCTTTTAACAAGGACTGGCCCACTAGAGGAGGACATGGATGTTCCAGTGGGCAAAGAGCCAGCACAGGACTTGAAAAGCTCAGGATTGAGTTCATATTTCAAACACTTAAGAGTGTGAAAGAAGGTTTTCTTCATCAACACTGTAAAATTCAGCATATTGCCACGATATCTGATCTATCTCTACACAGCTTTAACTGGATTATCTTTCTATCACATGCCCTGGACTATATATATGCAGACTTTGTGCCTCTCTTGTAAAAGCAGAAAAAAGTACTCATTCATTTTTTTCCCTGATTCTGTCAACATCACCAGACCTGCCCCCGTGGGGCCTCTCTGCTCTGGAGTTCAACAAGGCTATTCCTATGGGACTAAGGTTGTCCTCCCATAAAGGGGGACACAGGCAGGCAGGCAATTGTTTTCCTTATTGTTTCAGTCATGGGAAATCAAAGCTGAACAAAGTAGAACTAGATCTGCCCAAAAGAAGTGTGACAAATGAGAAATCCATTTAGTTTTCAATGAAGTAATGGAACTTTTGTTTTGCTACGGAAAATAAAATCCGCTTTGACAAAGAGTGGTTTTGATTCCTCCTGAGGAAATAACCCAACATCTCATAACTGCTCTTCTGCTTAAACATGTGATGGCTTCTTACTTCTTGAAAAATACAGTCCTACCCTGGAATCTGGTCTTGGTCTTTTCTTTACCAAAACAGCCAAAAGTGCATCTTAAATTCTGTAGCAAAACCAAACCTTTTGAGGTTATGCATCCACACAGATGGTAAAACCATAAGCCCAGCAGTGAGTGAGAAACAAAGAATGATTTACTGACCAGGACTGTGCAGTGGGGCAAAATATAGTTGAATTTTAACATTGGCCACAAGTCTCCCATACAACTTAAGAAATTAAATTATACTTCTTTGAGGTATTACTATTCCTTTTCTATTAAAATGGAGATTAAACTGCACTTTTCTTTCCCTTCCACATGTTTGTCTGTCTTGTCTATTTGTAGTCCGTGCAAATGGGTCCTACAGCTGGGAAGCTGGAATTTGTATACAATGAAGATTAATAATAAACTTCAACGTGCAGGAACCAGTTAGAAAGGTCATGTGTCCTGCATCACTTACCAGGCTTCTGATACCAGCCAAATGGGTGTATTCTGACTTCAGCATCTGGAGAATTACAGTTTGAAATGTGCCAAGCACTTCTTGTTTCCTCAGCACATGTCTGGATTCCAAGGCTGTTCAGAGTCACGCACACGATCTTTCCACCTGCCAAGGAAATAAATTGTTATAGAAATTATGAAGAAAATTTTCCTCTTCTAGATAGTTGTGAGGAAAGAGAGCACAGCATGGTTCCACTGAGTGCTAAATGAAGTTCAACTGACTTAGAAATCGAAGGCAGGAAATACCTAAAATGGGCCAAGTAGCTGAAACTAGTGTTGAAAAATCCCAATGAATTCCGTGTGAAGGAAGGTGGGTACCAACATTATTAATCATTATAATCCAAGATCACAGAGCATTTCCACTGAGCAAAGATCAGGAATCTTTGAGTAAGCAGCCCTTTCAGGTTAATGCAATCCTTGAAATTAAAAATCTGCATGTATGTTGAAACATGGCCACAACTTACATCAAGATAAAAATTCTGTCTTTCAAAGACCTAGAGTAAATATTTTTGTTCCTGAAAAAAAAAAAAATGGAGGGTTTCAAACACAGCTAGCAGATGCACTGAAGATTTTAGCTCATGTTAAAATCACTACTGAAAGTTCTCTTTACTATTCAAGTGCCAGGACTGGACATCTGAAATGTCACAGATACTTAATATCAGATAAACTAAAGAGGTGTGAGTTTTGTATTTTGTATGTTTGGTGCTTTAAAATTCTTCCTTTATTTTAGAACTATTTAAAGAAACTTAAAGCCACATTAGGTTAAGACTTCAAATTTCATATAGTCATATGGAGGTATGAAAACTGTCAACTATTTTTTATTGCCATCTAAATTGCCATCTAAAATACATCGGATTAATTTTCAAGTTATTAATTTTTTGACCAACTGGAAATTTTGTCTGCTCAACAAAAACATGGAATTAAAAATATATATTTTTGAAACATTTCAAATTCCCAAATGAGTTGTAAAGCCAGCACACCCTAAATGACCTCAGGGAGAGTTGATTAGCACAAAACTCTTCCAAAAACAAAGTTAGACATTTTAGTGGCCTAAATCTGAATGTGGAATAAAGTACTAAAATCTATTTCTTTGACCTGGGTGGTATCCAGTTCTAAACACCAGCTAAAGACTTTCCTTTACAGCACTTCCTTTTCAGTCAGTGGAGAGAAAGAAAAGTACCTCCAGAACAGGATTCAGTCAACTAAGGCTCTCAATGAGTTGTGTCTATACATCTCTCTGCTGACTAGAGACGAAGCATTGAGTGACAACACCCCTTAACTTAGCTATCCCACGGGATTAAAACATTTTTGTTTGACTTTTTAATGACTTTCAAGTCAAACACACTTCAAAAGATCTGATTTCTGCAGGCTAACAGAACTCCTACTTGAGACTTCTTAAGTAGCTAAAATCCTAAGGAGGAACAGATGGGCAAGCTCTATCCAAAACCAATCTTCCTCAAGCAGAAGACAAAAATTTGGGAGCAGAGAAGTTCAGACATCCAAGAAAGCCAAAAGGCTCAGCTGTCCCAAAGTATC